ATATAAAATAAAGATTTAGAGACAATAGTTAGAAGTGGAAAAAAGACCTGGTATTTATATCAGAGGATCCATTGGAGTCAGCACCTAAACTGATAGAAAAGATAGAAGAGTATGAGAAAGTAGCAGGTTTGAAAATAAATAAAGATAAAACAAAGATTTTAGCAAAGAACATGCTAGTAAGACAAAAGAAAGAATTGGAAGTTTTGGGGATCCAGGTCACAAACAAGGTTAAGTATTTAGGGATACATATAACACCAAGATGTAGCACACTTAAGGAGGACAATTATCTCAAACTTAAACAACAGATTGCGACAGACTTGATAAAATGGGAAAATTTACAATTATCACTGATTGGGAGAATATCTACAATTAAGATGAATGTATTGCCCAGAATCTTATACTTATTCCAGACAATTCCAATCAGAATAGGGAAAGAATTTTTTGAAGATTTAAATAAAATAGTGCTAAAATACAGTAAAGAATAAAACTTAAATTGCTACAAGATGCAAGAATAAGAGGAGGATTTGCTTTGCCCAATTGGGAATTATACTACCAAGCGACGAATCTGATGTGGGAAAAGGAGTGGATAGCACTAAGGAATACTAGACTTTTGAATTTAGAAGGACATGAGTTGCCGCTAGGGTGGCATGCCTTCCTCTGGTATAAGGGAACTAAAACGCAGGGGTATTTTAGAAGAAATTATATTCGAGAAGCATTGTTTCTAAACTGGGAGAAGATAAAAAAGCAATATTATTTAAAAATTCCACTATAGTTATCTACTATTGAAGCTTTTTCCTTTCCAATAATATATAAAAAGGAAGAAACAGATATGGTGAGATATTGAATGAAAAGGGTGAACTTAAATCTATGCAAGCGTTGGAAGAACAAGGTGTAAAAATGAATTGGTTTTCATATTTGCAAATAAAATCTAGATTTGATAAAGATGTTAAAACAGAAGGTATCTATGATAAGTTGACTGATTTAGATAAAATTTTTGCTAGAGTTTAAATTAGAGGAAGAACAAGTAAAAGAAACAATGATTGAGTGGGGGAAAAATTCGGATATGGGATTGACTTAAATAAATGGCAAAAATTGTGGTCTCAAAATTATAAAATGACAATGTCAACTGCATATAAAGAAATTTTATATAAGATGTTTTACAGGTGGCACTTACCCCCGACGAGAATTGCAAGGATGTTCAAGAATAAATCGGATAAATGTTGGTAATGTCATCAGATACCTGGTTCATATTACCACATGTGGTGGACATGCTCGGATGCAAAAAGATATTGAATTACAATCCTCACATGGTTGGAAAAAATGACAAAACAGCACATAGACTCTAAACCTGAGATACTTTTATTGGGAATTATACCGGAAATATATTGTAAAGAATTGAAATATTTGATTGTCAATGTTTTAACAGCGGCTAGAATTGTATTTGCTAAGAATTGGAAAAATAAAAAAATACCTATGCAGGAGGAAATTATTAAGAAAATCATGGACTGTGCTAAAATGAGTAAATTGACATTTGAAATTAGAGAAGAAGAGGATAAACCATTTTATATGATGTGGGATTTATTTTATCAATGGTTAGATAAAAAGACATAGTAAAGAAATAGATTAGTAAGCCTTACAATAAAAGTCAAAAGATTGATATAGAATACAATATAAAATATATAACCATTGGATGAATGTATAAGATTAAATCATAATGAAAATTAGAATATCTCATAGGAAATGATGGAAAAATAATCAAATGAATGTTTAATAATTGATATTATATAAGCAGAAGCTAGATCGATAAGGTGAGAATTTATATAACTTGTTAGTAATGGTAAAAAAAGGATAGCACAAAAGATTGTAACCAATATACACTGTATGTATATAATTGAAAGACGGTTTTATGTTTTTATGTTTTGCTCGTATGTTTCTTGTAAAAAATAAAAACTTTGTTTAAAAAAAAAAAGAAAGGAACAAAATAGAAAAAAAATTAAAAAAAAGAAGTGGAAAAGAGGGAGACTCCAGATGATGAGGTATATTTGTAGTAAAACATATATAATAGATTTTCAGGAGATGGGATTAAGAATTAGAATAAGAAGGAATTATTTAAATGTAATAGATATGAAAATAAGAATTTATAATAGATTAATTAAGATAGACAAATGCTTATGTAAGATCTAAATGATTAGGGGATAAAATATGAAAATAAATGTTTTGTGGAGCCTGACAGAGAATAGATATAACCATGCAGTAGTATAATATTTTTAATGAATTATATATGTGCTGTCCAGCCAGTGTATGGGAATTGGATAGTTAGGTAGCAATTGTGAGCTGTCCCCTTAAGG